CCGGAACGTCGATCTCACGGACTGAACAGGCCAAACAAGCAAAACAAGCTGCAGGCCGGCAGGAGCGGAAAAGCAAAATTCCCAAACCGGGACTCGAACCCGGGTCGCGTGGGTGAAAGCCACGTATCCTAACCGCCTAGACTATTTGGGAGCACCTTCTCGTAACCAACCCTACACGCAACTCGCGCCCTTTGCGCCATAACCACCACCCGCACGCCGACCAGATACGCACCCCCAGCCCGCCCACGCCCGCGCGCGCCTCCCCGTCGCCAGCGCTTGCCTCATCGGTCCGAAACAACCGCGAACCAGCCTCACGTGGAGCTCGTCTAAGCGTCGGCTTCATCGGATGCCTCTGCACGCTCCCAACGCCGACACGACCCCCTCAGCACGATATGCAGCGCCCGGAACGTCGATCTCACGGACTGAACAGGCCAAACAAGCAAAACAAGCTGCAGGCCGGCAGGAGCGGAAAAGCAAAATTCCCAAACCGGGACTCGAACCCGGGTCGCGTGGGTGAAAGCCACGTATCCTAATCGCCTAGACTATTTGGGAGCACCTTCTCGTAACCAACCCTACACGCAACTCGCGCCCTTTGCGCCATAACCACCACCCGCACGCCGACCAGATACGCACCCCCAGCCCGCCCACGCCCGCGCGCGCCTCCCCGTCGCCAGCGCTTGCCTCATCGGTCCGAAACAACCGCGAACCAGCCTCACGTGGAGCTCGTCTAAGCGTCGGCTTCATCGGATGCCTCTGCACGCTCCCAACGCCGACACGACCCCCTCAGCACGATATGCAGCGCCCGGAACGTCGATCTCACGGACTGAACAGGCCAAACAAGCAAAACAAGCTGCAGGCCGGCAGGAGCGGAAAAGCAAAATTCCCAAACCGGGACTCGAACCCCGGGTCGCGTGGGTGAAAGCCACGTATCCTAATCGCCTAGACTATTTGGGAGCACCTTCTCGTAACCAACCCTACACGCAACTCGCGCCCTTTGCGCCATAACCACCACCCGCACGCCGACCAGATACGCACCCCCAGCCCGCCCACGCCCGCGCGCGCCTCCCCGTCGCCAGCGCTTGCCTCATCGGTCCGAAACAACCGCGAACCAGCCTCACGTGGAGCTCGTCTAAGCGTCGGCTTCATCGGATGCCTCTGCACGCTCCCAACGCCGACACGACCCCCTCAGCACGATATGCAGCGCCCGGAACGTCGATCTCACGGACTGAACAGGCCAAACAAGCAAAACAAGCTGCAGGCCGGCAGGAGCGGAAAAGCAAAATTCCCAAACCGGGACTCGAACCCGGGTCGCGTGGGTGAAAGCCACGTATCCTAACCGCCTAGACTATTTGGGAGCAACTTCTCGTAACCAACCCTACACGCAACTCGCGCCCTTTGCGCCATAACCACCACCCGCACGACGACCAGATACGCACCCCCAGCCCGCCCACGCCCGCGCGCGCCTCCCCGTCGCCAGCGCTTGCCTCATCGGTCCGAAACAACCGCGAACCAGCCTCACGTGGAGCTCGTCTAAGCGTCGGCTTCATCGGATGCCTCTGCACGCTCCCAACGCCGACACGACCCCCTCAGCACGATATGCAGCGCCCGGAACGTCGATCTCACGGACTGAACAGGCCAAACAAGCAAAACAAGCTGCAGGCCGGCAGGAGCGGAAAAGCAAAATTCCCAAACCGGGACTCGAACCCGGGTCGCGTGGGTGAAAGCCACGTATCCTAATCGCCTAGACTATTTGGGAGCACCTTCTCGTAACCAACCCTACACGCAACTCGCGCCCTTTGCGCCATAACCACCACCCGCACGCCGACCAGATACGCACCCCCAGCCCGCCCACGCCCGCGCGCGCCTCCCCGTCGCCAGCGCTTGCCTCATCGGTCCGAAACAACCGCGAACCAGCCTCACGTGGAGCTCGTCTAAGCGTCGGCTTCATCGGATGCCTCTGCACGCTCCCAACGCCGACACGACCCCCTCAGCACGATATGCAGCGCCCGGAACGTCGATCTCACGGACTGAACAGGCCAAACAAGCAAAACAAGCTGCAGGCCGGCAGGAGCGGAAAAGCAAAATTCCCAAACCGGGACTCGAACCCGGGTCGCGTGGGTGAAAGCCACGTATCCTAATCGCCTAGACTATTTGGGAGCACCTTCTCGTAACCAACCCTACACGCAACTCGCGCCCTTTGCGCCATAACCACCACCCGCACGCCGACCAGATACGCACCCCCAGCCCGCCCACGCCCGCGCGCGCCTCCCCGTCGCCAGCGCTTGCCTCATCGGTCCGAAACAACCGCGAACCAGCCTCACGTGGAGCTCGTCTAAGCGTCGGCTTCATCGGATGCCTATGCACGCTCCCAACGCCGACACGACCCCCTCAGCACGATATGCAGCGCCCGGAACGTCGATCTCACGGACTGAACAGGCCAAACAAGCAAAACAAGGTGCAGGCCGGCAGGAGCGGAAAAGCAAAATTCCCAAACCGGGACTCGAACCCGGGTCGCGTGGGTGAAAGCCACGTATCCTAATCGCCTAGACTATTTGGGAGCACCTTCTCGTAACCAACCCTACACGCAACTCCCGCCCTTTGCGCCATAACCACCACCCGCACGCCGACCAGATACGCACCCCCAGCCCGCCCACGCCCGCGCGCGCCTCCCCGTCGCCAGCGCTTGCCTCATCGGTCCGAAACAACCGCGAACCAGCCTCACGTGGAGCTCGTCTAAGCGTCGGCTTCATCGGATGCCTCTGCACGCTCCCAACGCCGACACGACCCCCTCAGCACGATATGCAGCGCCCGGAACGTCGATCTCACGGACTGAACAGGCCAAACAAGCAAAACAAGCTGCAGGCCGGCAGGAGCGGAAAAGCAAAATTCCCAAACCGGGACTCGAACCCGGGTCGCGTGGGTGAAAGCCACGTATCCTAATCGCCTAGACTATTTGGGAGCACCTTCTCGTAACCAACCCTACACGCAACTCGCGCCCTTTGCGCCATAACCACCACCCGCACGCCGACCAGATACGCACCCCCAGCCCGCCCACGCCCGCGCGCGCCTCCCCGTCGCCAGCGCTTGCCTCATCGGTCCGAAACAACCGCGAACCAGCCTCACGTGGAGCTCGTCTAAGCGTCGGCTTCATCGGATGCCTCTGCACGCTCCCAACGCCGACACGACCCCCTCAGCACGATATGCAGCGCCCGGAACGTCGATCTCACGGACTGAACAGGCCAAACAAGCAAAACAAGGTGCAGGCCGGCAGGAGCGGAAAAGCAAAATTCCCAAACCGGGACTCGAACCCGGGTCGCGTGGGTGAAAGCCACGTATCCTAACCGCCTAGACTATTTGGGAGCACCTTCTCGTAACCAACCCTACACGCAACTCGCGCCCTTTGCGCCATAACCACCACCCGCACGCCGACCAGATACGCACCCCTGAGGACACGAGACTTCCTGGCGCATCTATGGGGTTCTTGTGCAATATCCAAGTTCGACCAAGAGTGCGTCTTGCCAGACTCCCCGGTTCCCAGAGTACGAGATCCACAAGTATTCGTACGACGTTGTTCACGAGCGCTGGGACCGTGAGTCATACCAAGAAGGCCTGGATTCTGAACCCTGGGAGACTATGCTTCAGGGTCGCTTCCGAGTGTTCTACTTCCATGAGCGAGAGCTGCTCTCCGCGTAAGCGCTCAAGCTGATGGAGGACGTCGTGGACGCCATGCACAAGCACGCACAGGCAATCGGGGAGCGCGGGCACTGGGTGCCTATTCCGACTAAGGAACAAGCAGACGCCACCATGGAATCGCAGCGTAAGTCGCGTCGAAACGCGCTACGCAGAGCGTACAAGACGCTCGTTGAGCGCTCGTGCAATACCCCTGGGTTCATCCCGTCGTTGTGGCACGAACCGGGTATCTGGAAGTTCCCGGACAAGTGCTGCTACTGGATTTGGAAGGATCCCAGGGCCAAGAAACTCGGGGGAGCTAAGTGCAAGGACTTAGACGTCCAGCTAGCGATGTTGGGCATGTGGTGGAGTCCCTCAGATAAAAACTAATAACCTCCCACACGTGTCCTGCCACGCAACTACGGGGGGTTACCCCTGCAAGCCAAATACCCAAAGACAACGAGAACTAGTCCCGAGATCTCTAGGCCTCACCTTGTGTACCCTTGTAGCAAGACTCGGATCTTTATCTAGCGTAATTCCTAGAAGACGTGTAATATGAAGGGGTGAATATGGGGTTCCTTACACTCGCAGGCAGAGACTTAAGTTAACTCTGTCGCGGATGCACTTGTACAGCGAGGTAACTCTTCCCACTGCACGACAACTTGTTGTACAATATGTACGAGATTTACTGGAGATCTCCTGCCGCAGCTAGTCTGCGGGTCCAAACCAGAGTGCGAGACGCACACTAAACCGTTTAGAGTGTCCTACTGTCGAACATTGAGAGCTGATCTCCTGAGTCCAGACAATGCAACACACTACGCTACTAGAAGGTTACCAGGGAGGCCAAATCAATCCAGAACCCCGAGTACACTTCGCAAGTAGGTAGGAAACAGTCACAGTACACACGTAGGCGCTAACCGCACAACACAAAGACTAATATGAAGAAGTACCTTGTCTCGTTGTTGGAAATTCTGAACTGAACTGCCTATCTACCGGCGGCTCGTCTGCCGGCCAACCAACCAACCAGTATGCTGCACGCCTTTACCTCATGACGTCATCTGCTGTCTCCGTGCGGTGTCATCGTCCTTGTTACGGGCCTCCCCGTTCTGGATCTTCGTAAATACGCCATCGGGTTTCGTAATCAGTCGCCGGCCTTCTATACGGGACGCCGAGCTAAGGTGTCCCATAATTCAAGTGGCTCACTCTCGGGTCACCTTCGGGTAACCTCCGGGTCCATCGCCTCACAATCCTTCAACCCGCGTTACGACATCCGCCCTCTCTTCGCGTAAGGCTATCGAGCAGGTGGCTGCCACGCGTAGAGCTCCTGTACCATGTCTGCTTCTCCACCCACGTCGTCGACTTCGTCGTCGGCCGCCGGCGTCCCTCTGCTGAGTGCTGCCCCGTCGTCGACTTCGTCGTCGGCCGCCGGCGTCCCTCTGCTGAGTGCTGCCCCGTCGTCGAACTACAGCCACGGAGATTGCACCGCCTGTCACTTCCTTGGTCGATCTATACCGGCCGCGGCTCCATACTCTGGTTCGCAGTCATCTCTATCGGAACGCGCGCGCATTATCCAGGCTGATCAAGTCACCGCGGCCCTCGATCACGAGGTGCTGGATCTCCGGGGCCGTCTTGACGTCGCCCAGGATCTTCTTGAAGCATCTGTGCAAGTCTTCATCGATCCATCCATGATCGCGATCTGGAGGTTCAACGCGTGCGCAACGAAGCCGACGGTCGTCTTCGAGATCTCCAGCGGCCCTGAACACCGAAGTAGAACGCCGTCAGCAAGCCGAAGCTGCTGAACAACAAGTACGCGCAGATCTCGCACGGGTCGCCGCTCGCTCAGCTGATGCCGATGAAGTCACTCCGTCCGCTGCAGCATCGCCCTCTAACGTCGTCCCCAGTCAGTTGGAGATCGCCCTCGGAGATCTGGATGATATACGAGCCGAGCTGGCAGATATCAAGGCTACCTGGACCCCTCCTCCCACTGCATCGGTGACCCCAGGTGGCCGACTGTTGGCTGCCAGCGAAGCTGCCACTGATGATGATCGGACTAGTGACTGACGCGCGGGACGTGCCCTGCAACGATCCAATGCCGAACGAGACAGATCTCGCAATCAATTGCGCCAAGCGGAGGCGACAATCGACAGGTTGCAGACCGAGTTGGCGCAATCGCGCACGCTGGTCCACAAAGCAGCGCCACGGATGGACGCCCTTCGCTTGGATGCGTCCAAAGCTCGTGAGGACGCAGTAGCAGCACGACGAGAAGCGGCGGCGGCGTCGAAGAAGGCGCAAGACGGTGGTAAGTCGCCCCAAGTGCTGAGGTTGTTGATGTTGCATCACTAACGCCTTGATCTCCCCAGCGACAGCGTTATCGGATCTCGCACAGCGGCATAAGGTGGCTGGGAAGCGACTGGAGGAGTTGGAGAGGAAGATCACTCGGCTGACTCAGCATAACACCGTTCTACGGCGTGAGAACGTCGTCTTCAAGAACAGTTTGGAGCATCGTCAGGCTGATCTCGCAACAGCTCAGGATCGCGCAGTGGCTGCAGGTCATGATCGCGCGTGCTGATGTGGCGGGTTTACTCTTGTGCTGACCTGTGCGTTTATTGCTTTGTAGAACGAGAGCGAGCGGAGGCCTCCCTCGCTCGCGACGACTTGCAGGCGGAGCTGGATGCGAGTCGACAGTCGCTGCTGAAGGAGCAGGCTTCTTCTGCTGATCTCCGCAGCAAACTAGCGGAGCGTGAGGAACACCTTGGAGCGTTGCGCAACTTGATCAATCTGGTACCTGCGCCGACTCCGCAACCTGAGGTGGAACGATGCGTGGCGTCGGCCTCTTCCAATTCGTCTCTTGCCACACTGGCGTCAACGGCCACGAGCCTTGTCTCCTCTGATCTTCCAGCGCGAACATCTTCGCAGCAGCTCCCGTCTGGCTCGGCAAAGCGAAGTGGAGATCTCTCTTCTGATCCAACGCCACAGTCGAAGAGTGCAAAGCGCGCCGTTGCGACTACCGAGGGAGCGCCAGCTGAGTTGTCTTCCTCTACGGCGATGGGTACGTAGCTCCTCCTCATTGTCAGACAAGCGACTTTCATAGATCTCCGTCTGACAGCCCGTGGATCTCTGTATCAGCCCGAAGCCCATTCACACACGCAATTCCACCTGAGTCCAGCGAAGCTGCGCGCCCTGCCGATGTCACGCCGTGGCTGTGGGAGGTCGTTGCAGGTCACCGCCTTGACCAGCTTACAGCCAAAGACCTCGCTTCGAAGTTCTGACACGCGACTGGCTGCTACCCGCCGGGGTGTGCAACCCTAAGAAGGGGGAGCTGGCCGTTCCTGCTGATTATCGGCCCTGGCCACAAGCCTCGGTCGAAGCTTTATACAAAGCGAGTCCCTGGAAGATCTTCCTGGATAACATGCCCGACCCAGTCTCGTTCGACATTGGAGATCCCCGCTTCCAACCTCTTCTGGCCATCATCCGCGATGTGCTGACTCGGAACGATAATCGTGGCGCGCTTGTGTTCTGGGAGATCACCCACTCCATCGAGATTTTCATTTCCAAGGCCAGCGCTGAGTCTTGGGAGGTGAAGTTCACTTCGGATCGTAAGAATCGGAGATCCCACTTTGTGAAGATGCTGCTGCCTGTGTTCGAAGAGGTGGCCCGCCTGTGCAAGGCTCATGTGTGCGACTTGGACATTCTTCTGGAGCCATTCTTCCTGCCGCTGATTGCAACGTGCCCGTGGTTCCCTAAGGGAGCTTCTGGTGCCTCTGGAGATCTGTTACACGTCTTACGAACGACTGACGAGGCGGAGCCGTGGCGCCTGTTCTACTGGAACGCTCGTGCCAAACACCCATCGATGAACGAGCCCATCCACACCCGCCTTCGAGGCAAGTTCAAGGCGACCTCGTCAATCGCCTAGCCTGAGTCAGCTGAATAGACCTAGGAGGACCCCCGGAAATCTCCAGCGTCCGACATTTCTTCCTTCACCAATGTACGTAGCTAGTGGGTAGTCTCCTCGAGCATGCATCTTCTTTATCGACATCGTAATACACCGGCTTCGACTCCATTTCATATCACTCCCGCCCCACAACTTAATTGTACACAGTCAATGTCATGACTGGGAGATCTCCCCAACTGGAGATGTGAAGGCATGGCGTAGGTCGCCGTGCATTCTGGGAAGTGATTTGTGGTGATCAAGGCCATAGCACAAACTCCAGGCGTAGGACGGCACTTAGTCCGACGGCCACCGACCACGCCTTCACGCCCTCGGTGTCTCCTGCACTGCGGCTCCGGGCTGGATCTCCAAGTCGGCGATGACAGCGATCCGGCCAAAATCGACAAAACGCGCAGGTAGTCTCTGACACGAACGGTTCCGGTTTTCACCATCGCACAGGCCCAAAGCGTCGTGGCGAGCGCGTTTCAGCAGCCGTCGGACGCGCGTTCGCACCCCAGGTGCCTCCAGCACTGCGACACCGGGCTGGATCTCCCCCGAGTACTCGTTCGTCGTAATTCTAATGTCCGACCAGATCATCACAACTAACCTCGTTTCTCCATTCCATCGCGTGATCTTCTCTCCATTTCTCCTTCCACTCAATCAAATGTAAATGTGCAACAAATACCATCCACCATTACGGATAGCGTCCACCACGCTACCCCCCAACACCGCCTCACTCTTCGGCGATGTCGGCCTCTCCACGCGATTGCATCACATGGAACCTCTGCCGGCTCCGACGCTTCTGCTGGAAGTCGAACAGCAGACCACCACAGTTCAGGTATTCTTCCTTGACCCAATTCGTCTCTGCGTGGCCCTTCCAACGCACCAAATATTCCTTGAGCCGTCGACCGTAGCGTGTGCGTCTTTCCGTCTTTACATCCAAGATCTCTTCAACTTCATACTCGTTGTCACCGCGAGTTTGTGCCTCCCAGCTATCCTCGGGGAGAAGTTCTTCGTCAAAGTCAAATCGTTCGCTTTCATCAACAGTGCGATCTTCGGCGGGTCGTTCGGGGAACTGTCGGACCAGCTTCAGCTTCGAGATGTGTACGATAGGGAACAGTCGGTAGTCAGTCCCGCTGATTTCCAGCTTGGCAGCGTAGTCGCTTACCATGGTGGCGACTTTGAAAGGCCCATGCCACATGTGAGCGAGCTTCCGAGCGTATCCGACCTTGACTCGGTCGAGGTACAGTCACACCTGCGATCCCTCCTTAATGGGTGACTCCGGTACGTTCTCATTGTGGGCTTCCGCGCGACTCTCACGAGCTTCGGCGAGGAGACGACGAGTCTCTGTCTGAGCACGTTGGTATTGGCGTTGGATCTTGAACCTCCATTTCTGTGGGTCGAGATCTCGGCTTCCGGTCCCTCCGGCTTCGTTGTGCCTTTGCCACAACGAAGCCGGTGAAGAGATCCACGAAGACTAGGAGCTCTGTGTTGCCCTTGAACGACTACCGGCTTCGTTGTGCCTTTGCCACAACGAAGCCGGTGAAGAGATCCACGAAGACTAGGAGCTCTGTGTTGCCCTTGAACGACTTCGGGAGGGTGGGGATATGATCCATAGCCACGACCTGGAAAGGGTAATTAGCGGCGATATTGCCCGGCGATCGCCCCCGCAAGGTGGGTTTTCCTTTTCCCGTCTCGCAGTCGACGCACTCCCCGACATACTTCTGCACACTTCGGAACATACCTCGCCAGTAGAAATGCCTCCGAAGCTTTTGGAATGTTTGGCTGACTCCCTGATGACCTCCCTCCACACTTGTGTGGAAATGATGCAGGAGATCTTCGTGGGGTGTACTCGGCATTACCAGTTTCACCATAGATCCACGGTCCTCGACATCACCACCGCGCCCCTCGACTGGACAGTACATCAAGAGGCCATGCTCGTCGACCTCGTAACTGTTAGCCAGTTTACTGCACGTCTTGGCTTGACGGCTCGAGATCTGAGAGAGATCACCGTGCAGGAAACGCTTCAGTGACCAGATCCACACCTCCTCGTCTTGAGCACGGCAAATACGTTCCAAGCGCAGCTGCTTGACGACGTCTTCCTGCAACACGGCTGGTGCGACAGTACGAGATCGGCTTCGCGTGACAGCGCCTACCTTCGGATGGGCGTCACGTTCTTCGCGCGTCTTGAGGAGCTCGTCCAGTCGATTCAAGGTCTCGAGGTCCGTGCAATCGGTGTGACTCTCGACAACTACCCCGGCACCACGCGTGCAGCGCCTGTCCCGCCAGCATATCCGCGGGTTGGTTCCAATCGCGTTTTACGTGGATGAGTTCGCATTGCGGCCAAGACCGCAAAATCACTCTGGCCTTCTCACGCAAGAGCTGGAGTCCCGATGACTTGCACTCCATCTCTCCACGGAGTTGGCGGATGACTAAATTGGAGTCGCCACACAGAATGAGACGGTCGATCTGGAGATCGGCAATCAAACGAAGTCCGAGAAGGAGGCCATGGTACCCGGCCTTGTTCACAGTGTGGTCCGGTAAATAGCCAGATTCAGCCTTGACAACCTTCCATCCAGGAGCATCCCATACCACAGCGCTGAAAGCTCCACCAACTCGTTTCGGCTTGGCCGATCCGTCAAAGCTGACGACGCAAACGTTTTCTCCGGGCGTAAAAGTCGGCATCGGGATAGCCAATGCTCTCGTCGACTTCTTCTGCGGAGAGATCTCCTCCAACGCTGCATCCATCTCTGCGCGCGGAGTGATACTGGCGGCAACCAAACCTAGTAGCTCATCTTCGCCTTTCGTTAAACGTTCGATCTCTAGCGAATGGGGGGAGAGCAGCGCCGCCCACTGAGCTAGCCGTCCCTTCAAGCCTTTCGCGCGGAAGAGCCATGCGAGAGTCGTGTGTCTGGTGAGCACTCGGATGTATCGACCACTCAGCATGGTGAAGCAGCTATCGAGGGTTCTTAGCAGAGCCAGTACTTCCTTCTCCACAATGTCGTACCCGATATCGTGAGACCGCAGTGTCCTACTCGTAAATTTGACGGGTACGTACACTCCATCACGACACTGAACGAGAGAGGCAGAGATCGCCCACTTGCTTGCGTACACAATCACAACAGGATCCAACTCTGGGGCAAAATGGTAGAGCATGGGTGCGTTGATCATCTTGAACTTCAGGGTATCGAAGGCTCGTAGCGCGTGGCCCCATCTCACAGTCGCCTCGTGATTTCCGCTGACGTTTGTGGCTCGACCCTTGATGAAATCGGAATCTCCGAACTCATACAACACTGTGGCATATACTGCGAAATCTTCGATGAAGCGATTGTAGTAGTTGAGACTGCCGAGGAATGACTGGAGAGCCTTAAGCGTTTTGGGAAACTTCAACGCCCCCAGACTTGCCAAATCTTTCGGCTTGGTGAACAGGCCTTCACCGGAGATCTGATGCCCCAGATAGTCGACTTTGCTCATACCCCAACTGCTCTTCTCCGCGCTAATAGACATATTCCAGCGGTCACAAACCTCGAGGATCTTCTTGACCTTCTCACACAGTTCGTCCCACGAGCTTGCTCCAACTAAGATGTCATCGATGTAAGAGCGACGCCCCAGCACCGACGGCAGCGATCGATCTTCAGGAACACCGTCCTCGAAAATGTTGACGAGATCCGCGCGATCTTGACCCGGCGAGATCCGCAGCACGCCATATAACGCATTGTCGATCAGCCGCTGATAGATTTGGGGGGCATTCTTCAGACCAAACGGCATTCGCAGCCATTCGAACAGGCCGAACGGCGTAATGAACGCGGAGATCTCTCGGGCTCGATCGGTCATACTCACCACCCAGAATCCACTCGCTATGTCGAGAGAACAGAACCACAGCAAACTGTCGAGATCATCGAGGAGGTCGTCAATCAACGGCATGGGGTAGATCATCAGTCGTGTCAGAGCATTGACCAGACGGTAGTCGATAAAGAGTCGGACGTCCATGCCGTTCTTCTTGACGACAATAACGATCGGAGACACCCAAGGAGAAGTGGAGATCCGAATAATCTTCGCCCCCAGTAGCCCCTTGACGAGTTGGAACACCTTTTCACGGAACTGAGGCGGGATCCGGCGACAACGCTGAGCCACCGGTCGTGCACCACCAACGTCGATGTCACAGATCGCTCCCGTCGCCGCAGGGGGTAAAGCATTCCCTTTGCCGATGAGAAGGTGACGCCGCTCCCAAATGATATCACGCAGACGATCAATCTCCTCTGCTGTGTTCTCAGTTGGATCCCTGACCTTGAGATCTTCCCTTTTAACTTCTGCCGTCAGGGAGATCTCTGGTAACACCGTCATCTCCTTTTCGATGTCTTCCGCAGTGAGATCGGCCCCTTCATGAACATACTTCGCTTCATCCATGTCGGTTGCATCCCCGCCTTGGCTTGGTTCGACTTGGGTCACTGGGAGCATTCCGCTCACCGGCTCCTCTTCTTTCTCGTCGTCGGTCTGCCAGTCAAAACTACCCCAGCTACCAGTAGACTCAGCGCTTTCGGACGCACAGCTACAGCTGTCGCTCCAGTCGCTTTCAACGATGACCGACAACGTGCGATGAACCATTTCCTCGGTGGCCGCGGCGTGTATTTTGGATTGTGGCATGAGGTCAGGGGTATATTCTGGGAACTCCTTGCGGAGCTCGGCCTCAGCCACATTTGCCGGAGTCGACGCCAAGCCTACCGGTGTTTCGCCACTGTTCGTAAAAGATAGGCCGCTCTCCTCGCCTGCGTGAGTTTCCGTTCGCGGTAGACTGGAGTCATCGCTGTCCATACCAGAGATCACCTGACCGGGATCGGTAGAGATCACGTCCTCCTCGGTTTCGGTCACCCTAGTCGGATCAGTCGAACTTTTCATCAGCTGCATTTGAGGATGTGTGTCGTCCAGTGTGAGTCGCGTGCATTCTTCTGACGTTGCTGCTGCTTCAACGGTCTTCACTTGTGGAG